CGGCTATCTAAAGTGCCTACCTAACAAGCTCCATCCCTCTCGCGGATATAAAAAAATACGATGTGAGGCGGTTGGCACAAATCACGTTGCTCCTTGAGCAGTTGCGAGAAATTGCTTGCCACATGTGGCAGGTGTTGTAGGCATGGTCCTCGCTATAAATATGCTCCGCTAATTTAGTTTATAGTCACTCGTGGTTCGCGAGCTGTGAACCGCAATTGCGAGGAATATTATTCACATAGATAAGACGAAAGTTATGAATAGCAGAAGTGCTAAGTGCGCTTCTTCTAAGCAGTGGTAAGAAGGGCTTATTCTTGAGAAGTCCTAGGCGCACTTCTGCAGTTCATTTCGAAATTTGTTGCCAAAATATCAATACATCGTTATCTCCATTTCCTCTGTTTTTCTCCGAGGAATAAAGTTAATACTTCTGTTTTACTCACAGTTTGAATAAACGGAACTGTATTAGATGCTCAATGCCTTAATTTAGAACAAGTCAGAATTTTGGACCTTTTAGAGTAACTCGATGAATAACTGTGAAGGACAGTTTTGCTATTACATTCAATGCTATGATGAACTGATTCACCTAGCCGCTTGTAGGTAATCCAGCCGTAACTTAAATGAATCATCATGGTGTGATCCATCCACCTGTGTCTTGTACAGCTGCAAAATTATCATCAATGCTAGAGTTTGGGAAAGCCGCAGGCGCTAGGTTTCAAAGTTATTAATGAAAAGCAGTACATGTATACTGAGTAGATTATAACTATACAATGCGTTGCTTAGGTTGGGGCGGGGCCGTATCTTATCAATTGATCATTTGTTCCACCAGAAGACGTAGCGTGAGGTGCCGGCGTGTTTTTCTTGCACTTTCGATGACTCAGGGTGGAGACCTGCTGCCACCTTTGTTTCGGCGTCCCCCGCTGCCAGGGGCGTGAGAGGTCGCCAGTTCTGTGACCACGGCACTAACGTGCGCTGTAGCATAGCCCAAGGCGTTCATAGTCACCTTTGTGGTCAAGTGGCAATTCATCACAAGGCGCGTAAATGTTCTCTCGAAGATTTCCGTCGGAAACGAATCAGGAGAATATGAGAAGCTCCTACAGCAGGCAGGGTATTCGCAGTGGCGGTTGTCGGCGCTGTACTCCCTCTTATGTGTGTCGTCCGGCTGTAACCCGGCTGCTGCCCACGCAGCCGGCGCCACGTCGGCGGGATCTGAGCCTGCTGCCAGTCGACATCGACGCGCCGTGTCGCGGCCGGGCGCCCGCGGCCGGTTGTCGGCTGCTGCCCATGCAGCCGGCGCCACGTCGGCGCGATCCGAGCCTGCTGCCAGTCGACATTGACGCGCCGTGTCGCGGCCGAGCGCCCGCGGCCGGTTGTCAGTTGCGAGTGGGCTCGAGCAGCGCCGGAGTCGTCCAAAGCAATCGTCGACACAACTGAGTGCGTGTCGCGGCTGTTGAGACTCGAACGCGGATCAACAGCATGCAAGCAGCCTGTTGGTTACTCTCGCTTCCGAACTCCCGCTTCCGAACAGTGCAAACATTTCCATTAGATTCTGAGTGGTAAGAGCTTTATTGGACATTGTCATGGCCTGCATCCATCGTCGGTGCTCTTCGAGACCTGGAATGCAACGACAAACCTTACGACAAAGACGTCGTTTGGAGGATTGGCACGTGCCGGATTGATCGTGTTATCGCGTAGAAGGTTGCATGCTTAGTGACGTGAGCAGATAAGGTTTACTTAAGCGAAATGGATGTGCGCTTGCGCTTAGTTTTGAGCACACTCCACGAACAAGCTCGACGTAATGTCTGTCACTTTATTCTTGTCAGAATGTCATCATGCGCGACAGGCCTGTACCAGCCCCACATGACGTTCTGTTTGTAAGGAACGTTGAAGTCTGCTGCGTATTCGGCTGCTGTCAAACTCGTCGTTCCCATCAGCGCGGAACGGGGAAGTTTCGTGGGATGCGCAGTGACAGGATCTAAGTCATTAAACCGCGCAGTGCGCTGCACGCGGCAACCAAACAACTGCCCTGGTTTCATTCACGCGCCGCTCACGCCTGTCTGTATCGGAGAGTCGGCGGCTCTATGAAGGCGTGCCAGCTTCGGTTCGCTGGCGTGCCGCAGCAGTCTGCCTCGGCTGGCAGTGTGGTGTGTGGCAGTAGTCGACCAGCACTAGAGAAGCCGACGACACGCGGTGGTGTTGCGAAGAGGCTTCATGGGGGAGGAGGAATAGGAGCAGGCAGTGAAACCGTGTGGAGACGACAAGGGGACCGACCAGGCGGACGGCGCCGTTTTAGGTGACCGAGTGCAGGCCGATCAGATGGGTGGCGGCGCCCTAGACGGCCAGGAGTCGGCTTATCAGGCCGGTCTAGGCGGCCCGCCAGCCTCAGTCTCGCTCTGTCCGGCCGAAGGGCCCGTCTAGGCGGCCGGGAGCGGGCTGATGAGACTGAGCGCGCCCGCCTCGTGCCGCGCCGCCCGCTCCATCTCGTCTTGCTGCACGTGCTCGGCGTCCGGGAAGACGACGTCGTCGTCGCGCGGCAGCTGGCGCGCCGCCTGCGGCCGCCGGCACTTGCCGAGCGCGTTGAACTCGGCGTACGGCTCGCGGTGGTGCGGCCTCTTCTTGCAGTACAGGTGGTGGCCACAGCGGCCGGCCGAGTCCCACGGCCCGCCGCACAGCTGTCCGGGACCCTGCAACACAGCACACAGGGGGCGCTGTGTCGGGCGCCGCGCCATGCAGCCGGCCGGCCTGACGTGCTGGCCAAGGTCGGCTCAGCAGCGATCAGAGGGCGGATTTTGATTGATTGTCTCTGATGTCACGTGATGAAGTGCCATGGCCGTTGGCGTTAGGAATGGCGCCACGGCATGGTCTGGGCGAGGCATTTTGTATGGCGCGCGCTGCCTGCGTCATCTTAGCATACCACATAGGCAACGGGCACTGAATTCGGACAAATGTTGTTGTTACTTTCGCAATAGCGTAAGCTACGAGCAGGCGTCACTCTTCGGATGCTCAGCATTGCATCGCGGCCGGCCTCTGCGCTCGTCCTCGGGCGGCGGAGCGTCTGGTTACCAGGGCACATCCGCCGCGGCCCGACGGCCATCAGGCGAGATAACTGACGAGCGCTGGTTCAGGTCGTGCAGGGCTCAGCTCACCTTGCCGCAAGTGACGCAGCAGGAGCACGTGTCCCTAACCACGCCGTACTTGCATCTGGGGCTGCGCAGCTTGCATTGCTCCGGGCGACAGGGGGCGCAGCTGAGCGGGGCCGCCCTGGAACCGATGTCGCCGGTGTTAACTGAGCTGCCGCGGAACGAGCGGCACGGCAGTCAGCTGAGTGGGTTCACCCTGCACGGGGTGTTACCCAATTCAGCCGAGCGCACTCGCTTCGGAAAAAATTGTCACCGAAGTCAACCGCATGGGACCGCCCTGGAAAGTTTGCCACCTGGATGGGCTGGACTTGGTTACCTTGAAACAGACGTCACCGGGGGCCATTACGGCTGAGGCGGGGGGACACGGCCGACAGGTGCTTAAGCCAAGAGGTCATCGTGATACAGGGTGATCAATGCTAGTGCCGTGCACACCGCTATCAGAGGGCTTAGCTGACGGCTCGTCCTCGCATGGGTTATCACTGCTGTGACGAGGACACAGGGAGCGAGACATGGCTGAGGGTGCATGAGGAGGGTGGAGGGCACCTCCTGTGAGGGGTGCACTGCGACGCCGGTGCAGCTGATACAGCCGGTCGCGGTGTCATTTTCGCACGGGAGCGCCAGGGTCACCTCTGCTCGAGTGCAACTTTGGGCAGGGCGTTGCTACAGTGGGCGCAGCCGACAGTCGGTCCAATGTGCTGTCGCGGCTTAACCGCAGGTCGGGCCGCGCCGCGGTCGCTGGTGAGCCGCAGCACACGTGCCGCCGCCCGTAGGAGGCTGCGTCCATCGCGCGGCCGGGGCGGCGCCACATGCCGGCCGCTGCAGGTCGGGCGTGCCGCCGCAGCCGACAGCTCGTCACCGCCGCCGGCCGGCCAACGAGATCTCGATCAGTGACAGACGGACGGCGCGGCCGGCGGTGGAGCGGAACAGCCGGTCACAGGCGGACACGCTGGGGATGCCGGCCCGTGTCGGCCGGTGACGGCAGGATGGGACGAACGGCGCGGCCGGCGGTGGAGCGGAACAGCCGGTCACAGGCGGACACGCTGGGGATGCCGGCCCGTGTCGGCCGATGACGGCGGGATGGGACGGCCGGCGCGGCCGGCGGTGGAGCGGAACAGCCGGTCACAGGCGGACACGCTGGGGATGCCGGCCTGTGTCGGCTGGTGACCGTTGGAGGGACGGACGGCGCGGCCGGCGGTGGAGCAGAATAGCCGGTCGCAGGCGGACACGCTGGGGATGGGGTGGTGGTGACCAAGACGGACGGCGCGGCCGGCGGTGGAGCAGAATAGCCGGTCGCAGGCGGACACGCTGGGGATGCCGGCCCGTGTCGGCCGGTGACTGCGGGAAGGGACGGGCGGCGCGGCCGGCGGTGGAGCAGAGCAGCCGGTCACAGGGGATGTCGGCCCGTGTCGGCTGGTGACCGCTGGAAGGAACGGTTGCTCGCGGGAGGACGAGCACGGCTGGCTCATGCAGCGGCTTACCTTTGGAATGTGACGAGGGCGACCGCGAACGCCAGCCAGACGGAGAGCCGCATGCCGTGCCGTCTGGAACGGACGGCGCGCCGTTACTGGGAGCGCAGGGGCGCCAGTGGCGCTGGCGGGCGGCTGTCACCCAGTTTTGGGGTTTCACGTTCATTCGGCAGAGCGGTGGGTTAGCAAAACAACCGCATAAAACCGCGCCCATCAATCGTATTACGTATGTTCCGATCATTTTGTCATCTGGACGGTTCTTGTCGTGGCCAGATGCGAGAGGAGCAGGCAGCGCCGCGATCTGCATCCGCCCGACTGCATCGTGGCTCGCGTTTGGGCAGGTGTATTAATGACACTTCAAAGCTGTGCACGTGGTGCCAGCAGATACGGCCTTTAATGACTGCGGTCAAAACCTAGCCTTTATCATATACTTATCCTCGACAAAAGTGTGTCTCCTAGGCTGGTGGACTGTTGCGCGGTATGTAGCGAGTGCGCCTTATAACAAAGCAGTCGGCCTGCCTGAAACCCAAATCGTCCGGTGAACGGCGTGTTGTGCGTGTTTGGCGCTGTCGCCGCTTGTCATCTGACGTCACGCTCGCCCACGCCCTGGTCCCGTCGTCGCTGGCTCGGGCGGCCGGCCCGCGATCAGCGCACTGCCGTCGGATTATCGCCGCCCGCGGCTGCTGAGGTCATCGGTAGCCGCGCTGACGGCTGACGCACGACGTCCGGAACGGCGCGATGACGGCGCCCGCCCCCGTTGCCCCGTGTTGACCCGAGCACCGGCCGGGCCGCGGAGAGACGCGTCACCGGGGTGCGCCACCGGGGCGCGCCGGCGCTCGTGGCTGGTGCGCTGTCGGTCGGAGCCCGCACCCGCTGGTATCCTGTGTCTGCCGCGGTGGCCGCTGCTGTGTGTGTGCGCGGCTGCGTGTCGCGCCGCCGCTGACCGCCCGCCCCGTCTGTCCACAGAGGATGGCCGGTCTTAACGTGCTGTTCGAGCACGCCGCTGGCTACGGCCTGTTCGCCGTCAAGGAGTTCGAGGAGACAGGCATGCTGTTGCCCGAGGTGGAGGCGTCCCGTCACCGACCCTCAGCAAGTTCAACTCGATCGTGCATCTGGGGGCTTCGCGCCGTTCAAGACGGGCGCCAATGCGCTGGAGAACATGAACGCCGTTTCGGAGGGCATCGTGACGGAGGACTTGCAACTGTTCCTCGACACCAACCTTGCCGAGCAAGCGCAAGAAGGTGACGGTGGGCGTGTCGGAGCCCAAGCTGGGCGCCCGCCATCTCCGAAGCCCTGGGTGTCAAGTGCCAGCACTCGGGCGCTGTGCCTGAGATCATTCGCGGCCTGCGCCTGCACTTCCCCACATGGTGAAGGGTTTCACGCCGGTGGCGTCGGGCAAGGCGCAGCTCGGCTTGGGCCACAGCTACTCGCGCTGCAAGGTCAAGTTCAACGTCAACAAGTCGGACAACATGATCATCCAGAGCATCGCGCTGCTGGACCAGCTGGATAAGGATATCAAACACGTTCTCGATGGTATCCGCGAGTGGTACTCCTACCACTTCCCGGAACTCGTCAAGATCTGCCCCAATAACTACATGTACGCCCGCTGCACGCAGGTGGTGCGCAACCGCAAGGAGATGACGGAGGAGGTGGTGCCCCAGCTGGAGGAGATCCTCATGGACTCGGCCAAGGCGCAGGCCGTTTACGACGCGTCCAAGTCTTCGATGGGCATGGACATCTCGCCGCTAGACCTCATCAACATCGACATGTTCGCCAAGCGCGTGGTGGCGCTGTCTGAGTACCGCACCAGCCTGCAGAACTACCTGAAGGACAAGATGGGCGCAGTGGCCCCAACCTGGGCGAGCTGGTGGGCGGACACGGTGGCGGCGCGGCTGATCTCGCACGCCGGCTCACTCACGAACCTGGCCAAGTATCCGGCATCGACCGTGCAGATCCTGGGCGCTGAGAAGGCGCTGTTCCGCGCGCTCAAGACGCGCGGCAACACGCCCAAGTACGGCCTGCTCTTCCACTCGACGTTCATCGGCCGCGCCGGCGCTAAGAACAAGGGTCGCATCTCGCGCTACCTGGCCAACAAGTGCAGCATCGCCAGCCGCTAGACTGCTTCTCCGAAACGGCGAACACCGTGTTCGGCGAGAAGCTGCGTCAGCAGGTGGAGGAGCGGCTCAAGTTCTACGAGACGGGCGAGATTCCGCGCAAGAATGCCGACGTCATGAAGGAGGCCATGGAGGAGAGCGTCGAGGTCCAGGCCAAGCTGGACAAGAAAAGAAAAAGAAGAAGAAGCGCAAGGCGGAGAGTGAAGAGAACGGCGACACGACGCTGGATACGTCTCAACTGGATGTCGACGAACCGCCGAAGAAGAAGAAGAAGCGCAAGCACCAGGACGAGATGAATGGAAATGGCGACTCCACGCTGGACCTGAACGATACTGAGGACAGCAAGAGCGCCAAGAAAAAGAAGAAGAAGAAGAACAAGGAGATGGAGATGGAGATCGCCGCGTAAGGGGAGGACGCGGGGCGCGCGTCCTCCTCTGCTGACCGGCAGCGCCTAACGGGTGAACCACCCTCTGGCCCGGTGGCGGGCGGCGTGCACGGCGCGAGCTGAGAGCCCGGGAGCGGACTCCGCAAGCGGAGGGACCAGGCGACCTGCAGCGCCGGCCCCGGCGACACGCACTAAGGTCACTTCGACTACCGGACGGCAGGAAGAAGGCAGTTTCGAGCAGATTCTCCAACCGCCAACGAGTGCGAACAGAAGCCGTGTCGCGTCTGTAATGTTTGCTCCTTGGGTGTGACAGATTCCGGGCTCCTGTCGGTAACAATAAATTTACAAAAGATCACGTCGTCTGCGGCTGTGATGGAACATTTGTAGCCTGCCGGCAGCCGACGTGAGCATGATGCGCTCGTGCTCTTGCCGCGGATTCAAGGACAGTGTAAGGGTACCTCTTGAGTCACCTTGGCTCGGGCCCTCGGCGTGCCGACACATTACGCCTCATCTCGAGCTGCGGAACCGGTCCTGAGGTGTGTGTCGCCGCAGGCGTATATTGATCACTGCAGTGGGACGGCATCAGAGGCTGTCTGCCCCTACCCCGGGAGGAAAGGAGACGCTATGCCGCATGCCCCTGCAGTTGATGCGCCAGAAAACCCAACCACTGTCCGCCCATCTCTCCGAGCAACCCGTCTCTCGCCATCCCCGGTGACGTGGACCAAGCGCTCGTGCCGCTCCTGTGACGCTTGCCGTCTCCTGGCCGTGAACAGTGCCCTCTGCGCCTGCGCGCTCCCCACCTGTCCCCGCCGGGCGCCGGGAGGACACGGGTGGCCGCGGTAGGCTGGCGAGCCGCGGTCGGCACCTGGCGGGCCGGCCGATCGGATCGGGAACGGCAATGCCGGCCGACGCCAAATGGCGCGCGTTGCTCTGCCGGCCGACGCCAAATGAGCTCGGCGGGTGGTGGTGGGGGTACCGCTCGATGTCACGTGATCGTCGATGGCGTGCCGTCCGGCGACGGCGGAAGACGCCGTTGTGAGCGAGCTCAAAGTCCGATAACACGTCACTGGGAGCTCGGTCGAGAACTCTTATCAGAGACAACTCCCAGAAAGTAAGGCGTCGCGTGTGAAGCGTGATGTGGTCCGGGACTGGGACTGATTTGCGAGCAGCAAGTATTCCTGAGACTCACCAATTTGTTCCTTTTCTCTTTGACATCCCACAAAATTAACAGAGTTGCGGGATTAATGGATGAGGATGCTCATCATACACCTCAAGAACCAGAGTATGCTTCTTGCGACAGGACGTCGGTGACGTGTGTGCGGGTGGCGGCGGATCTGTCGGAGCAGCTTGAGTGTTTGTTCTACACAGTTCTAACCCGATGCGCGATAGGCGTCAAGTGGCGACCGACTGAGAGACCCGCTCTTCACAAGCAAAAGCACGCCATTCGTTACTTGAGGCGCCCTATGTAGTGGTCCCGAGACCAACCAGAGCTGCCTGGGCCCCTTCGGAGCTCGGACTATTTGTGTACATAGCGGCCGTGGTTCAGACGCTTTGTCGAATCAATAGAGAAATATCGGTCTGCTTCTTAACGCGAGTGCGACTGGCGTTCCAGGAACGCTGTGTTGCTCAAAAATAGCCGCAAGGTTTGGACTTAGTTCAACCGCTCTTCACTGACATGTGATGTATATAGAGCAGTTTGCCGGGAACTGGGCGCTGTTGGCCAGTGAAGAACGGGCTTGAGGTTCTCAAGCGCCGCAGCACGTTCCGGAGCGGGTCGCAGACACGTGACTGGGCTATCGCCTGGGCTGGTGTTCGATTGGCCCTATCGCGGGGCGAAACCTGCTGATCTCATTCGTCCTAGCGCCATGTTTTGGCTCGTGAAGCTATCGTTTCGCTGCCTCGCATGGGGACATCTGCACTTTCCGCACCACGCATTATCGTTTGATACGGTGTGGGATTGGTGCAGATGGTGCAGATAAACCATTTTCAACTGATTTGCATGGGCTTTGGGCTCGCGTGCTTCCTTACCGGAGTTACCGCGCATGGCCTGTGTCCATTACGCAGGTTGGGCTGATTTCGTGAGATGGCCTTGCCTTCGACATTCTTAGCCAGGCGTGCGCGACCGCGGGAATCTTGTTTGTGCGGTAGGTATACAACTCGCGCGAAACGGTTCGCTGGTGCCAGGTTGGCCGTTCTTGAGGGGTTGTCGACCCCAAATTTCCGTGTCGACCGTGCCATGTGAACGTTCTGTGATTGTGAGCCATGGACGCTGCATGATCAGCCCCGCAGTATTCCCCTATAGCACGAAATGGTTGTTCATTTAAAAGCCTCACCTCACGCGGACTAGAGGATCCAAAATAAGCGAAGAGCTGTCGGTGCCAACTCTTAGTTTTCTTTCTATTCAGTTTGTTTTCGCTTGTCCCAAATGCTGAAAGCGTCGTGATATCAGTTTCTCTTGGTAGCGATTCACGTTATTTGCGCGCGCTGTTACGAACGCCTTAGAGCTGGGTTGGGATTGCACCGGAAGTCCATTGTCCACGTCGGATATGATTTGGTTTCGTTTACCCACGGCGTCG